ATGTGCATATGTATATATATATAAATATATATTCAGACATGTCTATATTTGTATGCACATAACTATGCCTTCGTACATGTTTATGTTTATGTTTATGTACATGCACATATGTATACGTACATGCAAATGTGTTTGTCTAGGTATTTGTTTACGTGTATGCGTATGTCTATATCAGTTTGTATGGGCATGCATATGAATGTGTACGCGGACATGTATAAGCATGCGTACATGCGTATATATAGATATGTTTACGGTTATCTATTGTTATGAATGCAATGAACTTGTTCATGCATTTGTTCGTTTTGCCCGCTATGCATATGTACATGCAAATGTATAGGTATATGTATCTGTATTTGTTTACGTGTATGCATATGTCTGCGTGCAGCTATATGTATAGGTCTATGCGTATGTATATGGTCAGGTATTTTTGTGTGTTTATGTATTTATGTGTGTTATATACGTGCGTATATAGCTTCATACATGTCTATGTCCATGTACGTTTCTTTTCATACGTATATGTATACGCATATGGCTATGTACGTTCACGTGTACATGCACATGTACATGCACATGTATATGTATGAGTATGTGTATGTGCATGAGTATGTGTAGGCGTACGTGTGTATGCCCATGCATACGTACGCGTACATTTATATGTTTATGTTGTTTTTAATGTATTTGTGTAGGTGCATGTTCTATAGATGTATACGTTTATATACATATTAGTGGATGTGCAGTGTTTACGTATATGTATATGTATGTGTATGTGTGCATGTAGATTATGTTTCTGTATACTACATGCACATGCACGTGTACATGTATATGTACATATATATGTTCCTATGTATTTGTACTTGTTTTTGTGAATGTACATGTACATGCATGTATCTATGTATCTGTAGATGCATACGTATACGGATTTGTTTGTGTCGATGTATAAGGATGTCGATGCATACATATATTTGTATAACTTTGTGTACTTATATCCATACGCATATTCATATTTATACACATGGTTATGTTAAAGTGTGTATGTATGTACGTTTGTTTGTATGCACGACTATGCATGTATATATGTATCTGTACATGTATGTATGTTTGTATGTATGTTTGTATGTGGATGTATACATGTATATATATATGTATACAAGACTGCATTGGCGCTGCGCGCCGTGCAACTTGGTCCTCAGAGTTTCGCACGCAAGCGGAGTGCGTGCGTGCGTACATGCGCGCATGCATGTATACACGCGTACGCGCGTGCACGTTCCGTTTGTATGGGTATGTCTATGTCTGAGAAACTCGTATGTGTTTGTCGGTGCACGCTGTATATGTAACACTACGGGTTCGCATTCACATGCGTTAATGGGACAATGCGTCGCCGAGGTCAGCGTTGGACAAACGAAAGTGGCCACACTACCATGGGACAATGCATCGCCGAGGTCAGCGTTGCGAGGGCGCCCCAAGCGAAAATGGGCTGAACACCTCCGCTCAGGACATCCCGGATCTCAGAATTGCGAGGATGTCTGAAACGAAAATGACGTGAACACCTCGGTTCAGGGCATCGCGGCGCGCAGAAGTGTGAGGATTGGATGCAGGCCCGTATGCTCGGTGTCGTTCTTAACTGTGTGGCGAAGAATGCTTCTCGAGGTAAACATTCAGTACATGAGGCACACACGAACACATCCGTTGTGGGCGGAGGCATCGTGCGGTGCAGGGAGGAGATCGGACATGAGCCAATGGGGCTGCGTACGGGGCACGGGACGGAGGGGAGGTGGAGGACGAAGAGGCGGAGGAGGAGAAGAAGAGGAGGACATGGAACAAACGGAGGAGAAGGACACGCAGTGGGGGTCCATGCCAAGAAACACCCTGCTTGCCTCCAGGGTGCCCTGGGTTTCCTGGGTTTCGATGTTTTTGCGATGGAGAGCGCAACGTTCCCACACCAAAAACCGAAAGATGCCCTGGGGTCTCAGGGTTGGGTTTCTTGTAGAAGGTTTCTTGTTGTCGGGCCCCTACTGTGAGGGAGCGTAGGGGGAGTCCCGTGTCGCCGATGGGAAAGAGCCAGAGGTTGGCTTCACTGCAGACGAGCGGCTGGAGGCCCCGGCTGGACTCGGCACGCGGGGCGCGCCGCTTGTCTTTGGGGATGCTCTGGAGGCAGCCTGGGAAGCTATGGGGGGCGTTCAGGTTCGATCGTGGCCACAGAGGGGCAGGACAACATCGCAGAGGGCGGTTCGCGAGTAGCGAAGGACTTGGGCAGGAGACAGCAGAGATGCCAGAACATAGTGTGGAACGGCGACCTGGGCTTAGCAGTGGCCGTGTCCTTGGGACTGTGAGGGGAACCGTGTGGGGGCCTTGGGGGGTGCCTCGAGTTTGTGTTGCAGCGGTGCGCCATCGTTTCGACCCCGAAGTTGTCTGGAGGCTTAGTTTACATGGCAATTCCATGTAGAGCGGTGTTTGCATTCGTGCTATAATCATTTTCCATAGAAGTTCCCTGTAAACCGCCATGGGGCCGTCTTGATTCGCTCGTGGGTAGGAAAAGCGATCTCATCGGGGAACAAATGAGAAACTTGTTTCGTATCAGTGGATGTTGGCTCTTTGGGCCTTCTTGTGGGCCCTTGTGGGGCATTCCAGTCCCGGGCCCTTTTGGCCCGTCTTGTGTTCTTTCTAGGCCGTTTTGGTGCATCTTGGAGGCCTTCGGCCGTCTTGGGGCTTTCTTGGGGGCCTCTTGGGACCCTCTCGGGAGTCTCTTGGGGCGGTTCTGGGGCTCTCTTGGGGCCGTCTCGGGGACCGTGTTGCGATGAGCAGTGGGGCCTCTTGAGCCTGTCTTGGGCTGTCTTGGTCCGGATACATGAGAAGCTGGGAAAACCTTCAGACACCAATTGAAAAAAACAATGATTTTCGGCCCTTCGGGCCCTGTGGGGAAGCTTCTTGGAGGCCTCTTGGAGCGTTTTGGAGCGATCTTTGGGGCTTGGACGGCTCTTGGAGGGATCTTGGGGCGTTTTGGAGCGATTTTTGAGGCTAGCAAGGCTTCTTAAGGTCGTCGTAAACCGTCTTGGGGCTCTCTGGGGTCGTTTTCGGAGCGCGCCGGAACGTCTGGAGCCCTGTGGGGCTCTCGTGAAGTCCTCCCGGATCGTCTGGAAAGCTGTCCTAAAGGCCCGGGGTGGGCCAAATTCGTTAGGTGGGGGGGGGCGCTTTTTCCGGGGTCCCCGGCCTTATAAAAATATATAATAGGAATATGCTGCCACGGCCTCACCCGCATAGCCTGGCTTCTTCCGCATAGCCTGAGATGGGCCTGGATGATGCTCCGCATTAGTGGCCCCCCTGAGATCCGACGTTGCACAAGCTCAAACACATGCAACATCGCGCAAATCACCACAGGAACCCCAGAACTGGTATTCGTTCGTTATTTTTTGAGCCGTATTGATCTACTGGGAGCCCACGGGGCCAACACTGGGCGAAAACGCTGGTTGCAAAAAGGGCAAAGCCAGGATCTCCTGGTCGTTGCCGTCGCCGCGTCGCCGTCGTCGTCGTCGTCGTCGTCGTCGTCGTCGTCGTCGTCGTCGTCGTCGTCGTCGTCGTCGTCGTCGTCGCCGCCGCCGCCGCCGCCGTCGCCGCCGCCGCCGCCGCCGCCGCCGCCGCCGCCGCCGCCGCCGCCCGCCGCCCCGTGCGCCGCGCGCCGTGCGCCGCGTGCCACGCCGTCGCTCCAGCCGCAGCGGCGCCGCCGAGGCGCGCCGCCGCGGCGCTCGGCGGCGCGGCCGCGGCGCGTGGCGGCGCCGCGGCGCTCGGTGCCGCGCCGCCCGCCCGACGGCGGCGGCGATGGTGCCGGGCAGAGCCGCAGGTGGCGGCCGCCGGCCGGGGGCGGAGGACCCCTCAGATCCTGGCGTTGCGTTTCTTTCACACCGGGCGTTCTCGCTCGATTTCGGGCCGGGGGCCCTCGCAGATCGATCCGGCGGGGAAAGCTGACGCAGGGAGAGGGAGCCCTGGGCTCCGGTGGTGATGTTTTGGCGACGTCGCAGCTTTTTGGCAACGTCGGGTCTCGGGGACCCGCGAGGGTCGAGGCCTCCTGTGGCGAACGAGCGAACACTCGTCCACGCCCATAATTAGGGGGCCTCCCGGAGGGAGCAGGACGAGCGTGGCTTGAGCCTCCGCTTCCGGCTCGACGTGGCTCCACCCGATCCGGGCGGGCAACCGGCGCCCGCGACCCACGGCAGCCCCAAGAGGCTCCAAGGTTGGCCTCGGACGGGCCAGCAGGGCCCCACGACGCGCGCGCGCGCGCGGACGAGCGAACAGCACATGCCCATATCGAGAAGGACGGGCTGTGGGTGTGGACGCGGGTTGTCGGACCCCACGGGGAGGCTCCGGTCTGAGCAGGGCCCCACATCTGACAACACGCGCCCGTAGCCCCCTCCCTCCCCCCTGGGGTATGGGTGGGTGGTGTTCGTGCGCTCTCCCGGATGGGGTCGGAGTAGACGGGTCGCGTGTGCATCGTCGATGCATCGCCACTGCGTCGCCGATGCGGCGTGATCCTCCGACCCCATCTCATTGCCCCGACCTCATCCAAGGGGCCTCTGGGGGGAGAGAAGAGAGTATCAGGGGCACGCTGCCGTTGCTTCGTCCTCGAGGCATCCTGGGCCACTTGGGTGTCCTTGGTTGCCCGAAAGGGCCGTCACGGAGGCCCGGGCCGCACGTGTCCACCTTCCTTTCACGAGGGAGCGGGGCCTCGGGGCGCGCCGCTCAATCGTTTACACCAGAGCGCAGAAAGCGGAAGGTGAAAGCCCGCCCCCACACCCAAGTCCCGACTCCCATCCCCGAGCCAGCGATCCGAGGGGTCGGAACCTGGGGTGGGGGCGTTCTCTCCACTCGTTGGACCCCGACGGACCACACCCAACCCCTAGTCCCTAACCCCTGGGTCGCGGGCTCAGGGATGCTCGGGACCGGGGGTGGGTGTGGGTTCTCGCCTTCCCCAAACCCGTGTCGTTGACATGGTGTTGTGCTCCCCAGAGGACGCGTCCGACGACGCCGGCGAGGAGACGGCTACGCTCGTGCCGTCTCCCTGGGACGCCCTGCCCCCGCGGAGCGCCGCCGGCTCACCCAGGTGAGCGAAGAAGAAGAAGAAGAAGAAGAAGAAGAAGAAGAAGAAGAAGAAGAAGAAGAAGAAGAATAAAAAGAAGAAGAAGAGCGGGTTCGGCTGCGTCGGCATTCGCGCGTCAGCTTCCGCGTGGGGTCGCGCGTGAGCGCCCTCTACCCCGCGCGGTGTGCCTCTAGGCCTCCTAGATGGGGTCGGAGTAGAGGGAGTCGGAGGATCGAGCCGCATCGCCGTTGCATCGGCGGTGCGGCTCGATGTGGAGCCCGATTTGCTTCGCGCCGACCTTCGCCGATGCATCGCCGACGTCGGCGATGCGTGGCTGGCGCATCCCCGATGCGTCGCCGGTGCATCGGCGCTGCGGCGCGATCGTCCGACCTCAGCTAATTACGCCGACCCCCTCCAGGAGGCCTCCAGTGCCGCGGCGAAAGGGGGGCTTGCCGTCTCGTCTCATTGAGTCGCCCGGGTGTTCGAAGAGGAGCAGCGGCGTGAGCACGCGGTAGGTTCGCGTCGTGCCGACGCGGCCGCGACCACGGCGCTAGGGCGTGCGAGGTGGAACGCCGCCCGTGGCGCAGAGTCGGCCAAGACGGGGACGAGCTGGCGAGCGAAGGGCCACCCGTCGTTCACGGTTGAGCGATGCACGCGGTGTCAGAGACCTGCAGAAGCTTATGCTCGTGCAGTGCTTCCTTCTTCTGCAGGTGCCGCGCGCTCCGGGGCTGCCGCAGCTTCTACGGCAACGTCGTGCTCGCCTGCGCGGGGGGCGTCATCCTGGTGGCCATGCCGGGCCAGAGCTTCGGCCTCAGCATGTTCCTGGACGACATGCTGGGGGACCTGGGCCTCTCCCGCTCCGAGGTGTCGTGGACCTGGATGGTGGCGCTGCTGGCGAGCGGCAGCTTCCTGCCGGCCGCAGGGTACATCTTCGACCGGTGCTCGGGACGATCGAAATGAGTACGGAAGGAACAGGTACGATGCCGAACAGCAGTTCCAGTTCATTTTGAACAAGGCTCGCTGTCTGCGCCGCCGCCGACGTTGTCGTTTTGAGACTCGAGGCCGCCTGCCCAACAGCGGTCGCGGGCGGTTTTGGACAGCATTTGTTGTTGGGCATCGTGCCCATTTTTTCCGTACCTATTTCTGGCTTCGTTTTCAACGTTCGTTTTAAACGTTGGGCCTCGTTTCGTTTTTCGTCGTAAGCTCCAATTCGCTTCAAACATCGTCGTGGTCGGTCCCTGTATTTCGTGCGTCCGCAGGTACGGGGCGAAGGTCCTGCTGCTCCTGAACGCCGTGCCCCTGGTGCTCAGCACCGCCCTGGTGAGCCGCGTCTCTGGCGCCTGGTCGCTCGGTGCCTGTTTCTTCGGGATGCGGCTGTTCGGGCCCGAGGTGTGCGAGCTGCTGGCCTACTGCGTCGTGAACGTGTGGTTCGAGCGGGACCGGGCGCGGGCGGCGTCCGTGCTCATTCGGGGGCTGCCAAAGGTGTCCCTGGCCCAAGGTGCCCCCAGCTTTTCGCTCGATCTTAGAGAACGCTCACACCCTCTTTGCCTCGTGAGGGTGCTCTGGGCGCCTTGGGGGACTCCTTGGGGATCCTGGGGGTACCTTGGGCCAGGGGCGCTTCCGGCAACACCCGACTCATGATGGTGGACTCCGGCCTCCTGGCGACGCCGCCGCTCCTCCTCGCCCTGAAGGAGGCGGTCGGCTGGAGGGCCTCCTTCGTCGTCATAGGCTCGGGGGGCAAGCAGTGACATAAGCAGGGGCAGGTTTTCCGCGGGCGAGGCTGAGCTGATGGAAAAAAAGAGGGGGCCTCGCTCCCTGCTCAGGGTTCCTTATGGCAGCGTCTCGACCGCAGAGGTCCGCGCACACTGCTGGGATCGGCGCGGACCTCCGAGAAGGTTGTGTTTGTGCCAGCAGGGGGCCGTGCAGGGCGAGGAGGAGGAGGACGAGGACGAGGAGGAGGAGGAGGAGGAGGAGGAGGAGGAGGAGGAGGAGGAGGAGGAGGAGGAGGCGGCGGAGGAGGAGGGAGAGGTGGAGGAGGAGGAGGACGAGGACGCGGACCTCCCGGATAGGTGCCGTGCAGGGGGCCGTCCTCCTCGTGTGCTGGCTCTTCATCGTCGACCGCCCCGAGCAGCTGGGCCTGCGGCCGGACGGCGCGGGCGCCGCCGGGCGGCGCGCAGGCGCGGAGGATCACCGAGCGCGTGCCACAAACCTCGCAGAGTGGCTACTGGCAAACGTCCCCAAATCATGTGATGTTCGATTCGGGTTGACCCAGACGGGGGTCCAGCGACAAGGGGGTGGTGCAATAGATTTGGTGCAATAGATTTGTGGGGTTGTGATACATCTGGGGCGTGCAATACATTCGGGGGCGCAAATGTATTGCTGGGTTTTCGCGTGCAATACATTACTTGCAGTACAATGCAATACAATTCTCCGGCGCAGTACATTTGCAATGCAATTGCCCTAAATCTATTGCACCACTCCCTTTCAGCTGGACTCCCTTTTGTGTCACCCAAATGGATGCAGTGGAGCTTTTTGGCCTCGGTGCAGTGGGTCCAGGCCATTTGCGGCCAGCTACTTTGCGGGTGGTGGAACGCGCTTGTCCAGAGGAGGACGGCCTCGAGGGCGAGGAGAAGGACGAGGATCGGAGGGCGCCAAGCGCCAGCCGGAACATCTGCTCCGATGCTGGCCAGATCCGAGTTGACGTAAAAGACGCTGGGGCGTTCTTTGGTGTACCCCCCGGCTTCCACCTTCCTGGTTTTCAGCCACCCACCACGGATAACAAACGGCAGCCCACAATACAAACAACAACCGCAGTGCAACACGGAGTCTAACCGAAAGCGTCGCGAACGAGAATCTCCAAACAGAAAGCGGATTCAAAAACGGAAAGCGTACACGTCAATTTTGAGAACAAGCGCCCCAGCATTAGTAGCATTTGCGTGTGTGCGCGCGCGTGCAAATGCCTCTGTTTACGTATGGTCGCCACCCTAAGATCATATATCTCACTCATTGCCTCTGTTGTAGCTTCCCTTCTCTTCTCTTCTCTTATCATGTGTTTTTCTTCTCGCATATTCCCTTCTCTTCTCTTTGTTCTCTTATCCCCTCTGCCCTTCTTTTCGCTTCGCTTATAGTAGCTTCTCTTCTTGTCTCCTCCCTTCTCTTCTCTTCTCTTCTCTTCTCTTCTCTTCTCTCCTCTTCTCTCCTCTCCTCTCCTCTCCTCTCCTCTTCTCTTCTCTTCTCTTCTCTTCTCTTCTCTTCTCTTCTCTTCTCTCCTCTTCTCTTCTCTTCTCTTCTCTTCTCTTCTCTTCTCTTCTCTTCTCTTCTTCTCTTCTCTTCTCTTCTCTTCTCTTCTCTTCTCTTCTCTTCTCTTCTCTTCTCTTCTCTTCTCTTCTCTTCTCTTCTCTTCTCTTCTCTTCTCTTCTCTTCTCTTCTCTTCTTTCTCTTCTCTTCTCTTCTCTTCTCTTCTCTTCTCTTCTCTTCTCTTCTCTTCTCTTCTCTTCTCTTCTCTCTCTTCTCTTCTCTTCTCTTCTCTTCTCTTCTCTTCTCTTCTCTTCTCTTCTCTTCTCTTCTCTTCTCTTCTCTTCTCTTCTCTTCTCTTCTCTTCTCTTCTCTCCTCTTCTCTTCTCTTCTTTTCCCTTCGCTTCGCTTCGCTTCGCTTCGCTTCGCTTCTCTTCTCTCCTCTCCTCTCCTCTCCTCTCCTCTCCTCTCCTCTTCTCTTCTCTTCTCTT